CCGATGAAGCCCTAAACTGTTTGCAGCCAGGTTTACTTCTCTCCCCATGAAAATGACCCCAGGTGAAATCATCAGCTGAAGCTCCCCTAAGACAGACAAGAGGTTGTCTGCTGCCGACAAGTACTCGGTAACGGGGTCTGGACTCTGAAACCAGAAACCAGCTATGTTAACGCTCTGAGCATGCAGCCAAACTCATGGGTATTTAATCCTTTGTTCAGCTTGTTGAGGGAGATGGGGACTGATGCAAATAGATTTGGGGGCAGTCCTTTGTCTGTTTGTGTGCTGTCATTTTACTTTACAAGCCATTTTTGCATGGAGCGCCACTATGGATAGATTTGAAATATTTGAAGAACGTAAAATAATGAGGTGTTGTCATTTACTGGGGTCAGGCTGTTGAATAGACTGATTTCACAAACGAGTCACTGGCAGAGATGGAGAATGGTCCAGTGGTTGGACTGCCAGCCTGGGACTTGGGGAGGCAGGAGCTGAATCCCATACGTGGCCATGGACTTCCCATTTGAACATGACCAAATCCTTTGGGGATAAATTCTCCTTCACTAGATGTGTCTAGAGGGCATGTCTGCAGTCATGGCAGGAAGGTTTACAGAGTCCATTTCACCATATGGCAAAACAGAATCGCCCCATGCCTGTACCTGCAAGCAGGAAAGCAGAGGAGGAGAAGAGGTGAGGCCCTCCCGTGTTTTAGCCCAACAGTCTAGCAGTTAGGACCCTTGCTAAGAAAGCAGAAAACATCAGTTCTTCACCCCTCTCCCAAAGGAGGTTTGAACCTGCCTCACCTACTACCCAGCAAAGAGCTCCAACTACCACCCCCCGGGTTAGGCACTGCCCAGGCTGTCTCCAGATGTGCTTTTGAAGCTGAGCCACTGCTGCTTTAATATTCAGCAGCTAAAATAGATCGAGAGCAGCAGGGCATTTCCCCCCTCCCATCCAAGACAGCCATCTCACTGAGCCACACACTCTTTGGCTTGTGCATTTCCTCCTGGGCCTACTATCTCCCTCCCTTGGTGATCCATCACAGCAGCTTCATAAGGGGACTGGACATTGTTGCCTAGTGGTTAGAGCCCCTTGCTAGGAAGCAGGAGTTGTCAGTTCAACACCCCTGTAAGTTAAGGGCCTAGTGCCCATGATGCACATCCCCAGAGCAAGTATTCACCAGGCTGAAGTGTGTACTTCACAGGATTTTGCCCAGCTACAACTTCATGACTTCCCGGCCTTATGCGTGCACCTGCATGAGCATATCCCACCAGCTCCCTGCCCAGCCCCCGCAAACCCCTGGTGAGCTTGTTCAGTGGGGATGTGCACACTCCCGTGCCTAAAGCTGAACCATAACCTGGGTGCAAGTGCCAAAACCTGCCGTCACACAGCCGCGTACAGGCCACTGAAGCACAGAGCGAAACAGGATTTAGCCCTACATGTCTCTGTTCTCCACCTGCAAAGCGAGGCTAACCATTCGGTGTATTATTATTCTGTTTCACGGGGGCATTGAGAGAGGAAATGCATTATAGCCTGCAGGGCACTCTGAGTCTGCGGTAATGGGAGGCCTGCAAGTATTTCTGATAGAGGGCAAACGATGCGCAGCCAAAGCAGAAGTACGCCGAAGGATTTCTCCGTGTCGTGGAATGCAGTTCTTAATTCTTCGTGCTCTCTGGGGCTGGGATCTCATCTGAAGTGTGCGCCGCGATGGGCCGAGCACATTAGCTGGTGCTCTTAAAAAGCAATGGTCTCTACCCTCTCTCATCACTTTCTACACCGGTGTGATTTCATTAGCTTTAGTGGAACTACTCTGGATTTGACACCTGTGTATCTACGAACAAAATCGGGGAGGGAGCATTAAACTTTCCAGTTAAGGTCAACTGGGACACAAGAGCTGGTAGCCCTGGGGTGTTTCCAGCAGGGAGTCAGGGCAGTGTTACTTATAAGCTTTTGGAGATGGGACTTATTTTCCACCTCAGAGATTTGAGCCCATTATTTCTAATGAGGACACCACCACGTAGCCTTCTGGCTTGTTGCCAGGATCAACAGCTGCTTCTGGTTCCCTCTTAACTTTCAGCTGAGAGTGGGATTCAGTGTTTTTCTCGCTCATAAATCCTGCTTTATGCCTTTCTCATGGAACCCTAGTGCCCTGTTTCTGCAGGCACAGAAGTAAACTCAGCCTTCAGCACTTATATCTCGAGACTCCCCATTACTGAGTGCTGACAATGCTCAGCTGAATGGTGTCAAGAGAGGCAGGCCTCTAATGACCTTTAGAGGCTGCCACAGCCTGCTTCAAACTCACTGGTACGTTCCTTCTCCTCCAGGATGTCGTTGTTGGCACAAGCCAGTTCTCTGATGAGCTGCCCATCATCTTCGCTCTTCGCCAGCCAGCGATCACACTGGAAGCGGAAGGTCTCATCCATGGCAGAATCGATGACCTCAATATATTCCAAGTGCCACCCAGGTGCAATCCCTGGGTCGTAAAAAAGCACAAGAAATTATATCATACGGCACTGTACAGATGCAGAGAAAAGAGGTTGCTGCTCTGAGAAGTGGATCACAGGTAGGTTTGATGTTATTGCCCGCATTAGTGATATCTTATCTCCTGAGTAGACCCAATGGCTTCTAGACAGGACAAGTGGATATGGACTTCATACCATGCTAGAACAGGTATTATAAGCAATATTATTGATTCAGATAGTGGCACCACTCCTAAGACAGGCCTGAGTATGGAAAGAACCAGGGCAGCCAGGCACAGGGCAACACCCTGCCTTCTTGGGGCCCCAGGGAGGCCTCTCCATGGGTATAAGGCACATGGGAATACGGTGTTTGGGGAAGGGGAAGATTTGGGGGGATCTTTTTGTCCTGTGTTTGCACTATCCCCAGCACAATGGGCTTCTGGGCTGTAACTGGGCGGCAGAGAAGCTTCTGAAATATAAATGCCAGTAATAACAATAATGACCAGCAGGCCATTATTGTTCTTTATTATTGTACTTCTACCAGCTGCATTGAGGTTCTCAGGAAGAAGTGATAATACAGTGTAGGGCTAATAAAGCCCCACAAAATGCCACTGAGAAACCAGGACAGCCAGGCTTTGGTGGAACTTGCTGCTAGACCCAGAACAGTTGCAGAGATGCAGCATTTCTGGGGATCTGCAATGTTTCTGAGCAGGTCCTAATAATATAGCTGGGGAGAGCTTTCCCCAAGGCACTTCCCATGTGCCACTTGCAGAGAATAGGGGCTGAGCAGGAGACCCCCCATACACATACTCATACCCTTCATACAGCTCTCTTAGGCTACTTTCATTCTAGGTCTTTTGTGGGGCTCTTGCAATCACTTATCACAGGTAACTCCTGCCCTAGCAGATGGACTACACCTACCATTTCCATGGCTCAATGAAAAATATGCATTTTGAGACTGTAGCAAGGTCTGCCTCTAAGGGTGGTGTTCCCTCGTTGCCACATACAACCTGCCCCACTCTAGCTCCTCAGTGTACCCCCCCCACTAGCTCTTCTGCCATGCCTTGATGTATGTGAATTGGGAGGCTATCCCTGAGTGCTGGAGTGATCCTGATTGCCTTTAACTGACCTAACCAGACTCTGGGTCCTACTGGTTCCTCTCTGGACCCTTAGGCTGCCACACAATTATTTTATGCCCGTATCTTGCCCTTCAGGCACCACCCCTGGCTCTTTCCATGCCACAGGGCAAATTGCCTCAAGGGCATTAATCATGGCCTCCAGCTTCCCCCAGAGGTCACCCAGGCCTCATGGGTGTCAATCAACATCAGCTAGTAATTCCAGCCCTTCAGGCCCTCATCCCTTTTTTTTCAGCCATTTACAACCTTGGCCCCTTTCCTCTAGCTGTATCTTTGGCCCTGGACCACTCATTGCAGCCTGGCTTTGCGATCTCAGACCCTTGGCCATTTTGGCTTCCACTTCTGCTCCATCCTGGCTTTGGCCTCAGCCCAGCTGCACTGCTGCTCAGTGCAGGGCTCAAAGCCCAGTGTGCCCAGCCACCTGCTGCATGGCCTCCTGTTCCCCCCTCCAGGCACAACCCCAGTGTTTAACAGCTCACAATAATATGAACCACAGCCATCAGCAGCGGAGGCAGGGCGCCTCTCTCCATGCTCTCCCCAGTGCCTACCCTGTTTGGCTGGCATCTCCCCATGCTGGGCCTACTTGTCATTCCAAGTGCCTCACTGTCCTGGGCCAGACTGTGGGCTCTGGCTTAGGAGCTGAGCTTATATCTCCCTGGGCTCCATCTCTTCTGCTCAGATGACCCCCTGACTAGCTATAGGTGTCTTCCCCCAGCTTACTGAGCAGCCTGCCCTCATCTGCTGCAGCTTACCTATCTACTTGTCTGCCCTTTTGTCTTGCAGCTGGCTCCCCAGTAGTTACCTGCAGTTACCTTGCAGCCTGTAGCCCCTATCTTTTGGCTTCCTCTGGCTGCTAATTCTCGTGCAGCTAACCCTCCCTCAGCTGCCTACTCCAGATTGCAGACTTCTTATGCTGCCTTCTTATTGACTAAGTACTGGGAATTAAGGGCCCTGCTAGAGAGGCAAATACATCATTATGGTTTCCCCATCTTAATTCTTTGACCAGACATAGCTATGAGCACACTGCTGGGGATTACTGCCTGCACTGGCGACTGGCCTCAATGACGGTTTGAGTACCATCTGCCCCTGAGAAATAAAACACCCCTCAGAAATACATTGCCCAGAGCTGTTTAAGTGTGCTGACACACACTTCAACAGGAAGAGGTGTGGGTTGGGCGCAACCACCCTCAGATATCTCTTTAGGAGGTGAGCTTTGAAAGGAAGATCTCAATGGCAGGCAATCAGAAAGCTCCATTTGGATCTGATGCTCTGAAGAACTTTTATAATTTGTCCTTCTCAAAGGTGGCACTTGATGTTTGATGCTGCTGCCACTGCACACACAGTGCGCTGCAATTGAGCAATGTTATCACAGGAAGCTTCCTGGTAGATAGTGCAAAAATCCCATCTTATACCAGAGCACCTAATATAACTATGATCACTGCAGTAGGGGCATGCAGCGAGTCCAGCTTTCTCCTTCATTTCCCTGAGGCAGCTAAATTGGTGCAGAATCCTATTCGACTTAGTGGACAACCCATGTGCAGCTTGCGCCCAGCCCAGAGTTATCCACTAAAGCAGGTAGGAGGAGATCCCTTCCACACTGGCGCTTCTCCAACAGCTCTACTTGATGAGGTCTGCTACTGTTCAAACAAAAGGAGTGCCACAATCGTGGCGAGACCCCTCTGCCATGCTATTATCCAGACCTAAGAGTCATCTAAATGTTTTTTTTCTCCTCCAAGGATTGGTAGCTACCTGTCTGTTGCCTAAAGCTTTCTTCATTTTGAAACAAATCATCTTTGCACTCCTGAAAAAGGGCACAGCACCTTGATGAGCTGCAATGTCAACAAGTCACCCCGCCGCCTCTGGGATAGTGCTGGGAGCTGTGCCATGTTGTACCACATGTAACAAAGTCAAGTCAAGGCTCTCTAAGAACATCATTGCTGTCACTCCTGCAGGCCATGGCCTTGCAGAGCTTCACAGAGACATCAGGGATCCTTCTCTTACAAAGCACAGAGCAAGACCAGTTAAGCCAGTTCTTCATTAACTGTCAGCTTGTGACATATGCTTTGCACAAGGGATACCTACTGTAGCATGAAGGAGAAAGATATTGGCTGTTTTCACTTGAAAGCGGTGTTGCACATTGATGACAAACACCATACACATACCAAAGGCAGATCAATTATAACCTCATTGCGCCTGGAGGTGGGACTGCAGGGTCTTACACCAGAATAGTTCTGTTCATGACTCAGTTACAGAATAAAATGCCACAGGCATGTCTTTGGGGTGGGTGAGCACAGGGCAGTGATGGTCTTCATATGTTCATCATCTAAAGCATACATCTCTGGGACTCCAGCCATGTTTTCACAAGAGCCACTCTCCATCCCGAGGTGCTTGGAAATTTATTCTAAACCTGCTGGCAGGGTCACCCTGTTAATCTTGCTTCCTGGCTCATTTCCATTTAAGACTCAATGAATGTGTCTATAGAATATTCAATATTCAAGAGACTGCTCTGCTTTTTGTCAAGATTTAGTTAAAACAGGCCACAGGAAAAAAAATACATTTTTGCTCTTCCTCCAGCCAAGCATATCAGTGACTAGAGTCTAATGACTGTTTGAATAAATGAGCGGCTAGATCTGTTCCCCTGGAAAATGGTCTCCGTTATGCAAACCCTAGTACGTGTGCATTCATTGCCTCCGACTTTGCAAAGGGGTGCTATTGTGAAGACCTCCCCTGCAGGAGTGTCTGTGCAAATCATCGGGAGTGATGCATCTAATCCGTTCAGTTCTGTGAGGCCTCACCTGGATTATTTGGTTGATTTGGGGCACCACACCGAGAAAAATGTGGGCTCATTATGAAAAATCCTGAGGAGAGCCATTAAAGAGTTAGAGGTCTAGAAAACATGACATACAAGGAAACCCTTGGGACTATTTAGTGCAGAGAAGAGGAGATGACTGTGGAGGGAGTTAATAACAGCCTTCAAATACAGAAAGAGTGGCATAAAGAAGCCGGTGACAGACTGTTCTCTGTGGCTGCAGAGGACAGGACAAGTAATGGGCTTAAAAAGCAAGAAGGGACATTTAGGAGGAATTTTCTAACTGTGAAGGTGGGGAAGCGCTGGAACAGATGACCTAGAGAGGCTGTAGACTCTCCACCCTTGGAAGCTTTTAAATGCAGATTAGACAAATACTCATATATGGTGGTTTAGACAGAAATGACCCTATCTTGGCAAGGGATTGAGCTTGGACCTCATGAAGTCTCTTCCAGCCCTATTTTTGCATGATGCTGCTCACTCCTGCTCCATGCAGCCATGATTAGACTGGCTCTGGATCCATAAGCCTGAGAACAAAGCTTGGCTGCTTCTTGGGAGTGTATCAAACAGCAGCTCCATGCAGCATTTGAGGTGCAAAGACTGGGAGCAAGAGACATAGTGCTCTCTAGGACAGTTGGAGGCAGCTTAGCAAGGCCCTAACTGGAGCTCTTGGCACAGAAATAAGGCCTAGACTCCCCCCAGCACAGAGCTAATCTCTGCAGGCCATCACCCAGACAGAGCAAAGGTAGGTAGGCTAAAGCAAGGTGAAAAACATTAGCAAAGCAGTGCTGGGAAGTGCCCCAGCCCATGTGGTACATCCTGATAGGGCTGGTTTCACTGGGACTAGCCTAGGTTTTTGTAGTTCATCTCAAGAAAATGTCCATGTCGGGGTCAGATATTTGTTTCAACACATTACTAGGTCCATATAGTTCTCCTTCATGCCACAAACCATTTACATCAATTGTTTGACGTGGAGGTGGATAAGGCTATTTGACATGAAGGGGATAAGCCAACGCTTGCCTAGAGACCATGCAAAGGTCACTCTGAAGGACAAACATTATTTGTTAGTAAC